ATACCCACTCATATATTTTTTTCAGCTTCTCATCTCATCAGTTCTGAGCTCTGCTTATGTATGTCTGTCTGTCTGTACTCGCTCTGTGCCTAGTGTGGGACTCGAACTCGCCACCCCGAGATCGAGAGTCGTAGGCCGCACCAGCTGAGCCAGTCCGCTCTGCCCCACGAGCTCTGCTCATTTAAAACTCATAGGTCTCAAGTGAGACGTGATCCCACGTGGACACAGGGGTCTTACAAACCGGGGCGTTGAGACTGTCAGTTTGGGCTCGTGGTGCCACTGGGCCAAGAAGAAAGACATAGCTTGCGGTGGTGGTTCTGGGTATCGATGGCAGCTACAAAGGGGAGAATCAGACTGGGGAGCACAAGGAGGACGGGAAGGTTTGAGACTGGAATCCAGGGAGCTGTGCCCCCTAACAGTTCCACAGCCAGTGATGAAAGCTAGTGTGGGGGCGCCTGGGGGGCTCAGGGGTTGAGCATCTCCCTTGGGCTCAGGGTGTGATCCTGGGGTCCTGGGATCAAGTCCCACAGGGAGCCTGCTTCTCCCTCTGCCTCCCTCTCTGTGTCTCTCATAAACAAATAAAATCTGAAAAGAAAGAAGAAGAAAGAAAGAAAGAAAGAAAGAAAGAAAGAAAGAAAGAAAGAAAGAAAGAAAAGCAAGCTAGTGTACAGTGAGCACTGATGCAGACTGCTGCCGGCTCGTACCCTATAGGGATGGCGGTCTTGCGGGGGGGGCCTGCACCCCGAATGTGTTGGCTCGGGCCCAGGGCAGGTGGAAGGAAAGTGACTCGCAGCCGACCACAAATTACAGAAACAAAGAGTAGCGCCGCCGCACAGATTTCCCCTGTCTTGTATGTACTTATGTATGTTCACCAATTATTTATTTTCCCCTCTCTCTTATCCCGTGGTATGGAAGGAATATTGGTGATGGTTACCTTTATTCTTAGAAAATTTAGGCAGAAGATAGATTAAAATCACCTGGACACAGAGATCGTGACTGTTGAGACCCTGTGCCTCCCCTTTTGAAACAGCGACAGCATCTTCAATTATTTAAGGAATATGGTGCGATATTGTTGCTGTCACTGGAAGTTTACGCATAAGGTGCAAAGGTGAGGACAACCTCTGAATGGCCAAAGGGCAGAATTTGTCCATCCTTGCCCTTCGGTGCTTTTCCTGTGCAGTTTGGAGAAAACTGTGTCTCCTGGATGCCCCAACAGCTAAGTCCTCACTTCGGAACATAGAAGGGGTGAAGGCTTTTGGGGCCTTGGCGGTAAGGTAGGAGCTGCACAGGTGGTGGTCTGGCCCCCATTCCCGCTTTCCTCCGGGGCAGCACCGTTTCCAGAAGCACCAGCAGCGAGCCCTCCGCAGCCTCAGCAGGACAGCGCTCATAGGCATTTACTCGCACCTTTTCTCTTTTTTTCTCCTTTATCCATAACAGTGACAATGGCTTCTTGTCATTGCTCATCTCTAGATAACTTCAACATTTTCCTTTTTTCTTCTTCTTCTTCTTCTTCTTCTTCTTCTTCTTCTTCTTCTTCTTCTTCTTCTTCTTCTTCTTCTTCTCCTTCTCCTTCTCCTTCTCCTTCTTCTTCTTCTTCTTCTTCTTCTTCTTCTTCTTTTTCTTCTTCTTCTTCTTCTTTTTCCTCTTGTAGCCTTCGCAGCCTTTTGATAAGCAATTCCCAACATGAAATTCCATCTGTTTAAAAGAACTGGTATAGGGGCTCTATTTCTCCATGAGGACCAACACTGATACAGGCGAACCCATGGCTCAACCTACGCCAAAAAAAAACGTGGAGTGGATGAGGAGGAGAAGCATGGCCATGGACAAGCCAGGAAAAACTGGAGAGATCAGATAATCGGATGTCTTTGGCAAGTGCAGGACGGCCTACAACGATTTCTAATGTGTAGCAGTTTCGGGTAGGAATGGGGTCCAGAGTGTGCCGTGGAAACAGTGGCTGAAGAAAAGTGGGCTGTAGTTTCACTGTGATTGATGAGATCGTTTGACTGTGATGCAGGGATGCTACTTGGTTCACTCAGATGGCCACTGAAACAAGGACCAATGATGCTGGGATATGAGGACATGTCAGACTACGTCTTCTACAACATGCAATACATTTTTATTAGAGAAATACCTTTTTAAAATTTGTTTTTATTTATTTATCTATTTTCAGAAAGAGAGAGAGAGCATGTGTTTGTGTTTTTGTGTGTGTGTAAAGAAGGAAGGGCAGAGGCAAAGGGAGAGAGATCCTCAAGCAGACTCCCTGGTGAGCACTGAGCCCAACTCGAGGCTGGATCCCAGGACCCCGAGATCATGACCTGAGCCGAAATCAAGAGTCAGATGCTTAGCTGGCTGAGTTCCCCCAGAACCCCCCCTTAACCTCTGTTGCTGAAATCTTCGCAGTGATGGGGCAGTGGTATTACCTGCCATTTCTCTTCCAGGAAACACAAAAACAGCAGCAACTCATTAATTTGGTATCAAGAGAACAAAATGTGTGGCAGTGTTATGCTCTTAAGAAGCCAGCACTGGGACCCCCGGGTGGCTCAGCGGTTGAGCATCTGCCTTCAGCCCAGGGCGTGATCCTGGGGTCCCAGGATCGAGTCCCACACCGGGCTTCCTGCAGGGAGCCTGCTTCTCTCTCTGCCTGTGTCTCTGCCTCTGTGTCTCTCATGAATAAATAAATAAAATCTTTAAAAAAAATTTTTTTAAGCCAGCACTAATTTATCTTTTAGCTGGATTTGCCTGGGAAGTGTTTTTTATCATATTTACGCCCTCCGTAACTTATGCCCACAAACAGTCCCTCCAGATAGAACTCGTTAGAACTGGTATTTCACCCTGGAGTACACTTCTGCTATTTCCCTTTATAATTAATGTATTGTGGGCCCCATTAGCCTAGTTACATAGGCTCCATCTCCACCTGCTAGAGAAAAACACTGTATTCAGTTCCATGTTCTCTGCACTGTGACAAGTTGTATTTTCAACTGATAACTACAGCCCCGAGTCTGCTAACTTCAGCAAGTTAAAAATTCTATGTAGGCTAAAAGGGATAGAGGGACACAAGTCTGAGGAATAGATACTTTATGGTTAAAAATCTCTCTCTCCAAAGATCTTGTGATTTTTGTGTGTGTGTGATTTTTTTTTTATTTAACTGTAGGCTACCCCTTGAAGTACTGATTTGTAAGTATAAAGTTCAAGGGTAATTTTTAAAGATTTTACCAAAACCAACTAATATTTAATTGTAAGGCATTCTCAACTGTGCACTGTGATCTGTTCTCCACTCTTCTGTATTTCAGCTTGTCTCGTTTTTGCATCTTGGATTGCTTTGCTGTAAGTCCTCTCAAAACTTGTTTTTCAGGGGATACCCGACAGATCTACATGGGAGCAACCAACCTTCCAACCACTAAGGTTGGAAGACAAATAATAAAGGGAAATGGAATAGAAGATTATTGGTAGTTGCCAGTTGCTATCAGGGGTGGAAGTATGCAAAAAGCCAGGCCAATGTCGAAATGCATAGGATATTTTTCCAACATTAAAATAGTTTTATGGGGATCCCTGGGTGGCGCAGCGGTTTGGCGCCTGCCTTTGGCCCAGGGCGCGATCCTGGAGACCGGGGATCGAATCCCACGTCAGGCTCCCAGTGCGTGGAGCCTGCCTATGTCCCTCTGCCTATGTCTCTGCCTCTCTCTCTCTCTGTGTGTGACTATCATAAATAAATAAAAAAAAAATTAAAAAAAACTTTAAAAAAATCGTTTTATTATTTTCTGGTAACAAAAATGATATATACTCATTATAAAATTTCAAATACATAAAAGTCTAAAGTAAATATCATCTGAATACCATGGCCGGGAAAAAGACGCCTCTCTTGGCAAAGATCTCTGTATGGAACATACAGTATTTTAAAATATCCAGTATTATAAATGGGCCCACATTGAACATATTATTCTATAGCCTCCTTTTTCATTTGATAGTATTTCACGGACAAATTTCCATAGCAATGAATAAGACCTAAATGATTTTTAATGACAGTCGCATATGATTTAATGGTATATATGTGCTGGAATTTATTTAACCCATTTTTTATTAAAGGATATTTAGGCTATTTCCAAAGGCTTTTGTTGTTGTTGTTTTTAAATATTTATTTATTTATGTGAGAGAGAGAGAGAGAGAGAGAGAGAAAGAATACAAGCAGGAGGGGCAGAGCCAGAGGGAGAGAGTATCTCAAGCAGATTCCCTAGGATCATGACCTGAGCCAAAATCAAGAGTCTAACACTTAACCAACTGAGCCACCCAGGCACCTCCCAAAGTTTTATATCATAAACACCATCAAGTACTTCTTTGCCCTCATGTTTACATACTTGTGTGATTTTCTTTCACTGGGATAAATTCTAAACAAATTGCTGGGTAAAAAGTGTATTGTGAATTTTTGACACATATTGCCAAATTTAATACATACTGTCTTCTGGAAAAGCTGCACCAATTTTCACTCTTTTTTTTTAAAACTTTTTTATTTATTTATGATAGTCACAGAGAGAGAGAGAGGCAGAGACATAGGCAGAGGGAGAAGCAGGCTCCATGCACCGGGAGCCCGACGCGGGATTCGATCCCAGGTCTCCAGGATCGCACCCTGGGCCAAAGGCAGGTGCTAAACCGCTGCGCCACCCAGGGTTCCCTCAATTTTCACTCTTGCCAAGAGGACCAAGAATGCCCCTTTGCTTATATTCTTGTCAATTATTTGAATATTTGCCCATCTGGGCACATACAATTAATACCAATAAAGTAGGGGCACCTGGGTGGTTCAGTTGGTTGAGCATCTGCCTTTGGCTCAAGTCATGATCCCATGGTCCTGGGATCGAGCCCCACATCATTGGGCTCCTTGCTCTGCAGGGAGCCTGCTTCTCCCTCTCCCTCTGCCTGTTGCTTCCCATGCTGTGTTCTCCCCCTCTCTCTGTCAAATAAATAAAATGTGTTAAAATAATACAAATTAAATAATAAACACACATATATTTACTTTTTAAAAAATTCTCAAATAGAGGATGCCTTTATTTTTTAAGTTCCCCTTTTTCAGAGCAGGTATTTCCTGATTTGAATAAATCAGGAATAAAGAGTTTTCAGTTTGCATCCCCACTTCAATATTGGTGTGACTCCAGATAAGAGTCAACTTTCCCAGCTCACTAGGCATTCAAAGCCTAAGTGATGAAGGCATCTACCACATACTAGATACTTCCATGTTAACCGAGTCTGAATCTCCCACAAGTAAGCTTTCTACCTGCTTACCCTCCATGCAATTAATGTTGCTCTGTAAGAAATTTTTTTTAAAGATTTTATTTATTTATTCATGAGAGACAAAGACACAGGCAGAGGGAGAAACAGGCTCCATGCAGAGAGCCCAGTGTGGGACCTGATCCCATGACTCCAGGATCACGTCCTGGGCGGAAGGCAGGTGCTCAACCGCTGAGCCACCCCGGCGTCCCTGTAAGAAATTTTAAAATTAAGGAGCCAATTAAGAGCTTTGGAACTATCCCCTTGCTCTTTGTAGAGGTAACCACAAAGCTTTCAATGAGGCAGATGACATCAATAAGAAGGCACTGAAGTGAAAGTTTGGTAGGCAATGTAGGTCTTTGGAGCAAAAATGTCTCCCAAGAAAATACTTGCATGTCATGTTCAATAGACCATCAAATATTTATAAATAATTTGACAGAAAGATGGAAACAAACTATCACAAGTATCAGTTTATCTTCTATCAAGATGCTGGTCTGTGATTACTTAGAAATGGTTTGGGAATATTTTCCACCATGAAGCAAATTTGTAAGCAATGTACACAATGTCTAATTCCTCTTTTTAAAGATATCTCAGATATTAATATTTGACATTAATAACTTTTTATCCACAAATAGCAGTATGGAACCATCTAGGCAAATGAATGCCAGTAGAATGGATCTTAGAAACATGGCACTTTGGGAACAATGTAGATGACAGTGTTGATATACTAGGTACCAATGATTTGAAGATGTTTTAAAGGACTATTTAGTTCATTCACTTTACAAATATTTATTGGGCCCCATTACATGCCAGATACCATGTTAGTTGTTAGAGATACAAAAATGAGCAGGATATAGACCCTGCTCTCAAGGAATTTTCAGTTTTGTGGAGAAGAGAGAAGTCAATAACTACATTTTGGAGTGATAGGGAGGTGAGGCATGTGTAGGTGCTTCGGGTCCTTAGAAGAACCCAGTTGAAGATGCCACGAGTAGCCAAATAAATATCCTGAAGAAATCATAGGTCAATGGAAGAAGAAGGTCTGTTACGGTGGCTGCAAACCATGCCATCCTGCCTACTGCACACTAATAGCAAAGCAACAAGCCACTGTAGAGACATTAGCTGTAAAACAGGATAAGGAGAAGTCTCTGTGAACCCCTAGAAAGAGCTGGCGAAGAAGCCAGAGTCTAAGTCCAGACAACACTCTCTGCGAGATGGCTCAGGGAGGCTGGTCTCCTGGAGAGCCACCAGTGAGCATTAGAATTGAGATGAAAGGGGGTCGGTGAAGGATCTCAAGATGGCTGGGCAAAAACTTGCTCTAAAAACCATTGACTGGGTAGCTTTTGGGGAGATCATACCCCGAAACCAGAAGGCCATTGCCAACTCCCTGAAATCCTGGAATGAGATGCTTACCTCCAGGTTGGCTACTCTTCCTGAGAAACCACCTGCTATCGACTGGGCTTACTACAAGGCCAATGTGGCAAAGGCTGGCTTGGTAGATGACTTTGAGAAGAAGTTTAATGCCCTGAAGTTTCCTGTGCCAGAGGATAAATACACTGTCCAGGTGGATGCTGAGGAAAAAGAAGATGTGAAAAGCTGTGCTGAGTTTTCGTCCCTCTCAAAGGCCAGGATTGAAGAATATGAAAAAGAGCTGGAGAAGATGAAGAACATAATTCCATTTGATCAGATGACCACTGAGGACCTGAATGAAGTCTTCCCAGAAACCAAATTAGACAAGAATAAATATTCCTATTGGCCTCACAAGCCAATTGAAAATTTATAAACTTGAGTTGAGGAGAAAGCCCCAGTTCTCATATTATAAACATTGGACATTGAAAATAATGATACGGAAAAAAAAAAGAATTGAGATTAAAGGAATGGTGTTTCCTTTCATCCATTCATTCATTTATTCCCTTGAACATAAGCTCCATGAGATCAGGGATCTTTGTTGGGTGTGATCTTCACTGCGTCCCCAGCTCCCCAGAACAGTGCCTGACACAAATGTTGATAAATGTTCATTCAAAGAATGAATGGTTGGATCAGTGTATATATTTAACTCACATCTAATGACAAAGTGGATAACTGTTAACAGAGAAGCAGGATAGTGAAAAAAGGCGGAAGACATGTCAAGCCTTGTGTCCTCACTGAAACCTTGTGGATTCAACAAATGACATCTATGCCTTTTCATAAGAGCTTGGATCTGTGGGGGCTTCTCTGTAACATGCAGTACGAGAAAGGGTGTGGGCCTTGAAACCAGAGAGATGTGCATTCAAATCCGGGCTCTCCCAGATATGGGAGGGCCTCAGGCATGTTCCTTACCGTCTGTAAATAAGTCTTCTCACCTCTAAAATGGGATTCAGATCTTTGGGGTGGCTGCGAAGGCTAAACAGGGAAAAAACACAGAAACCTCTGGACCCAGCTCCCTTTGCCCTTGCCCATCCTTCCAGCCCCAGGGCCTGTGTTGTGTGGAGTTCTGAGAGCTCCTGGCCCCCAAACCTCTGGATGTCCATCCTGGGCCCCCTTTTCTATTTCTCTTCCTCCCTCTCTCTCTCCAGCAAGCTTCTCCAAGAAACCTTCCTTCCTCTCTTATAAGTACACAGTAACCTCCTTACCCTTTTATTTTCAGTTCCATTGGTTTGTGGTTCAAATACCAGATGTTACCAAACTGTTGAGTTGGCTAGTTGCCTTTCCTCCTTCCTCAGTGTCCTAGGAGCCAACACAGTGCTTGATAAATGCTACTCAGGCTAACCCTCATTTCCTAGACTCACCACATCTCAAGTCATAGAAGCTGTTTTACACAGGCTAACATACCATCCCATGAGGCTATACGATAATGCAGCGAGTTTCGGATCATTATAACAATTCTCAAGAAGTCAATAAAGGTGATTATGCCAGAAGTCCCATACCTGTTTTCAAAGACCACGAAATATTTTCCCTGTGCTTTGGGACATTATAAAGTGAGGCCAAAAAACCTAACAAGTAAATAAGATTGGCCTAGGGGATTGCCCATGGTGCATTATATAGGTGAAAAATGAGTGAAATTCTTTACTAATTGATCTTTGCTGATCAAAGGGAACACTTGAAGGCTCATTCTTGGTTTCTTCATGTACCTGAGTCTCCAAATCATGAAGCCATGGAGGTCCTCTCTTATTGCCCAGAGCAGTGTGCAAGATTTAATTCCTATCAATGACCCTGTATTAACACACCAGAAGGCAAATCAAGGAGGACTAGTTTACTTAATAGAAGATTCTTTTAATTTTCAGCCACAGTGGCATCTGCCTGCCATATCATTGATCAGGTTATTGCCAGATAATCTGACTTGTTCTTTAAGATGTACAAAGTAGTCATACCCTAGCAAGGTGACCACATCAGAAAAGATGACTGATTAACAATATTTCTAGAGCTCCTACTCCAAATAACTAAAAGCTTAAGTAAGAGGGCAAATATAAAAGAATTTTTTTAAATGATTACTCTCTCAAAAACCATACACCTAGATGGAAAGGTACTGATCTATGACTATTTGAGAACACTCTAAGGCAGAGGTTCTCAAAGAGTGGTCTGAACAGCAGCAGCATGAGCGGTATCTGGGAACTTGCTAGAAAGCCAAATTCCTAACCCCAGAACTACTGCATCAGAAACTGAGTGGGGTCCAGCAATTTGTTTTTTGTTTTTTGTTTTCAGCAATTTGTTCTTAACAAGACTTCCGCATCATTTGGATGCACACTGAAGTTTGGGAAACACTGCTAAGCGAATTCAAATCAACATAATTCCAACATAATTCCATGTGCCAAGTAATGGCTCAGGCTTGGTGTTCATCACAGCTCCCTTTATGACCTCTCACCGAGGGTACTGGGAGGTCCAGACTCAAGGCGAAAAACAGTTCAACATAAAGTCAATTCTTGATCGTCTTGATTACTTCTTTTGAATTACTAGTGGCAACTTCACACAATGCCAGGCTAATTTCCCCAATTCGGCCAAAATAGTTTCAGATTATGTTTCTAAGATAAGCTAAATCCTGATGGTTTATAATATATAAAGCCAAACACCAAAAGCTTTTATACTTCTTTTCATTAACATGTATAATCGAGAGCTGCCAAACTAGGACAGATCACAAGAAATCATACAAAGTCTGGTCCAACTGTTTGTCCCTACTAATTTTGGCACATGGGCGATTTGGGAGCATTGTCAACACATGCCATGAACATATGGGCAAGACAGTGAAGGGCAGTCAGGGCACGTGAGGGCCAGCCTGAGCATGACTTCTCTCAACTGTTTACCTGGACCTTTATGTGGACTGCCAATCAGACTAAGGCATATTCTATTTGAACCTCATCATGAGATCCTTTTTCCCAGAATTATAGCTTCATGTTTCTGACCTTGGTCTCTTAACCTGACCCTGATTCCTGATGACTTTCTTCTTTAATCATTTGTTCTTAAATCTGAAATCTGGCCTCCAATCTCACTATGATTAACCTAACTGTACTAACTCACCAAAAATAATAATAATAAAAAAATAAAGGAAGAAAGGAAAGAAGGAAGGAAGGAAAGAAAAAGAAAAAAATGTCTATAGAAGGCTAGAGGTCTACCCTTTTATTATAAATGTGCTAGAGAAGGAAATTCCATTAATCCTATGGAAATGGTTTTTGTGGAGTATTTCTATTCATCATCATGAAGACAGTCCTTATCCCCACTTTATTCAGCAATGTTTACCATAGCTGAATTTCTTATTATGTGGGTTCTTAGAGATAATTTTTTTTTATTTACTTATGATAGTTATACAGAGAGAGAGAGAGGCAGAGACACAGGCAGAGGGAGAAGCAGGCTCCATGCACCGGGAGCCTGACTTGGGATTCGATCCCGGGTCTCCAGGATCACGCTCTGGGCCAAAGGCAGGCGCCAAACCGCTGCGCCACCCAGAGATCCCTCTTAGAGATAATTTAATTCAACTTCACTTGTAAGGAAACAACAGCTCTGTACAGGCTAATGTGGGCCTTGAAGAGATGACTCCTTACACACTCAGGGAATGTGACAGAGTAATGTGTCCTCCCCTCCCCCCCAGCAGGATATCCATGTCCTAATCCCAGAAACCTGTGAATGACTTCACAGGAGAAAAGAGACATTGCAGATGTGATTAAATTAAGTGTCCTGAGATTCAGAGATTTCTGTGGATTATCTGAGTGGGCCCAACACAAACACAAGGATCCTTACGAGAAGCAGGAGGCCCAAAGTAAGAGAAAGAGGTGATGAAGAAAAGATCAAAGAGAGAAAGAAAGAGAAATCTTCAAAGATTCAAAGATGCCACATACTGGCTCTGAGAATGGAGAAAGAGGCCACGAGTCAGTGAATGCAGGTAGTCTCTAGAAGCTAGAAAAGGCAAGGGGACAAATTCTCCCCTAGAGTCTCCAGAAAGAATGTCAAGGACCTCTGACCTTCAGCACTGTAAAATAACTAAATTGTTTTGTTTGTCTGGTTTTTTTTGTTGTTGTTGTTTTGTTTTGTTTTTTTAAGTAATCTCTATACCCATTGTAGAGCTCAAACTCACAACCCTAAGATCAGGAGTCAGATGCTCTACCAACTGAGCCAGCCAGGCACCCCAACTTACACTGTTTTAACCCAGTAAGTTTGTTATAATTTGTTTAGCAACAAAAGGAAATTAATACAGGTAGTTTACAAGCCAGTCAGAGAGACTGGATGGCACAGGCAACTTTGATATAATTCAGAAAGTAACAAATATAAGATAGAAACACAAAAACAATGCTGTGGCAATGCTGATGAAGTCAGTACTTCTGGGTGGAGAGATTTAGGAAGCTTCCTGGAAGAGGCACTTCTGCTGAGCCTTGAAGGACGGGTAGGATTTCCACAGGGGGAAGGACGGGTGGGATTTCCACAGGGTAGGAAGGACGGGTAGGATTTCCACAGGGGGAGATCCAGTAAACAGGAGGTAGAGGCACAGAGTTGGCTGGTATAGAATCAAACTAAAAGCTGACATCGGCCCTTGTGACCAGCGATTTTCTCAGAAATAAAAATTAACTGATTAAAATTTTATACATTCTACTCAAGATATAATAGTTTGCAAAAAAAAATTGTAACAATAGCCAACAACTATATGATACATGATAAACTATCCTAAGAGTTTAAATAGAGAAATACAGATCTTGGGCACGAATTCCCTCTTTCCACAGAACATGTCATAGTCGGGAGCAAATCTAGCTCATTTTCAGACAGGGATGAACAGAAAAAATACTAAGGGTTAACTGAAGTAAACAAAAGGGCAATTATTTAAAAAGGCATCTGCTAACATTTACAAATTAGACACTTCCTACAACCGTCTCAAGCAAGCTAAACAGAACAATGGAACCTAACTGAACTGACCGTACATAGCAGACTGGAGGATCTGAGGGCTCATGTTGATGATGACGAAGACAACAGAATCCAGTCCCTTTTTGGTAGGTTTTGTTTGAAGTCAAAGGTCATGATCTTAAGTAATTTTGAATGGCTCTAACTTAGCCTAGGTTTGAGCCACTCTGTTTTGGGAATTGGGAAGGAAGGAATAACATCGTCCAAATTGTTGACCTGCATCACCCAAACTCACCATCGATAGTCCTCTTAGCATCACTTATGGTGACAATGTTTTCCCAAGACGATACCTGTCCTCGGGTGCCTTAGCAATTACTTGCTTTCTTCTTTATCGTCTGGTGAAATCGATTCCCTTTTATACTGTTCACATTCGTTCCAGGAAAATTCACAGGAACAGCTGGTCTCCACTGGCCTGCTCCTGTAAGAATGGCCTGGAGCTTCTACAGAAGGGTCCATATCCGTACCATAGGCCCCTGGGTCCTGGGATAGAGCTACATGCTTTGGAGACCCACTTTCTTTACAAGAAGAACTGGGCCTGTTGCAGGTATCCTCATTCCTCTCACTGCCTGTCTTTCGGTCAAAGCCCAGAAACGTAACCTCGGACTGGCTGCATTCGAATGGAACTTTCTGAGTCACTCCAACTTTTCTCAAACCTTTATCATGAGGCAGTGAATGATTATTCTGGTTTTCATCATCTTCCACTGGAATACTTGGTACGTTCTCCAAGAAGAGAGGAGAAGGACACCTGAAGGACTTTAGGGAGGTGGGAGGATCTTCAGCAAAATATAAGCTGGCTTGAGTACTTTCAAGAGTAGTTAGGACCTGGTTAACCAAGAAGCAAACAAACATGGAGTTAAGCTTGAATAACCTCTCCTTTTACCTTATTTCCATCTACCTGCTAAGGAATGTTCTCGTATTTTCATGAAATAAGTTCAACTATAGAGTTTTGAATGAGAAGGTATTGAAGATTAGCTTAAACCCCTTCAGTTTAATGAGTAAATTAAGAGACTTGAAACCAAATATAAAAGAAACTGCAATGAAGTAAACATCAAGGGACCTGAGTTAAGGCTTAGATTTGCCCCCAGCTGCTGTGGGACCTTGGCTGAGTCTCTGTCCATTTTTCACTTCAACCTTAATATGTGGAGTACCAGAAAGTGTCAGAGGACAGGGGACCCAATCCGTAGTTCTCAAATGCCAGATTTACATACAGGAGCTTTCTTAAAATACAGATCCCCTGGTCCCAATCTAAAGATCATCACTGAAAAAAATATGAAGACAGGGGCCCAGGAATCTGTATTTTAAAAGCTTCTCAGTTGGTTTGGACGTGCAGCCCAAACCAAGAACTACTGACCTGATTTAAAAGAACATGTAGCCTCCCTTCACACACACGTCATTTTTAAAAATATATTTAGAGAGCTTTACTATTTGCAAAGTGCCTTCACACGCATTACTTCGTTTATTCTGCACAAACAACACTGTCATCCTCATTTTACAGATAATAAAGCTGAGGCTCAGAAAAGATCACTAGCCAGGAAGGAGCAGATCTATTGCTTGACCTCAGATCTGGCTCCCAACTCCAGGTTTCTTCCACTATATATCTCACAGCTCTTTTTGGGCCCAAGATACCAGGTCACATAGCTCTCACTGGTGGTGCCAGGCCTAAAATATAGCTCTCCTGACTCCCAGGCCAGTGCTCTTCATATTCTGATTGTGCTGATCTCTTGTTGAAAACCCTTTCATGGCTCTGCCATAGATTCAGGATAAACCCAAAATCCCAGAATGGAATTCACATCCCTCTATCACCTGGAACTTTCTATGATTTTAAGCACTCCAGCTTTTGCCTCACCACCTCCCACTTCCATGAACTACCTGCAGTATCAGTGCTGGAAAATCCATTACCTCTGAGCTTTGTAGGTATAAATTCTCTTCGACTAAAATGCCTTTCTATTCTGACTCTATGCTCCCATGTTGACCTGGGCTTCCACCTACCATTATGCTTATCTCTCTGTACTGAAAAGCCACTTGAACTAATCTGAGCTCTCATTTGAGGCTGAGGGCAACAACTGTATCTTGATTACTGTTGCATCCTCCGTATCCAATACCAAGTCTGGCACATGCAAAGTAAGCACCAGCTACATATTTGTTGAAGAAATAAACAACTAAATCAATGGATGATGAAATTGAAGAGTAAATTTTAAAAATCAATAGAGGAAATATGAAATGCATTTTTAATGGACCAAATCTCTTAATGAAGGTCGAATAAAATTCTCTCCAAGCTGCTCACTTCAGTCTTTTCATTAAATTTCTTGTGGTGCCCTATTCCCACCCAGCAATGACCTCTACCAGAGTACCAAATAATGTGACTTGTTGACTTGGAAGAACCATTAGGTTAGAACTCTGTGTGAGGAGTTGGATTTGCCTCATTGATAAAGAATTCACTTAGACACACAATTTATCCAATTTAGATTTTTCCATGGTTCTGTGGGCTTGGTTTTGAGTAAAACCATGTGTACGTACTTCATCCATTGATGGTCTTAACTTTGCCCGCGAGGTAGCACACTGGCCTGCCAAAGAGAAGAGCTTGGCAGAGAAGTTCCGAGGACAGGGATGCACTTTCTTATCTAGAAATGAAAGACATGAATCGAGGCCTCTCTTCTCCATCAATTCCATAAGGAGATCCCTCTAGAAAGAGAAGAAGACAACTTTATCTTTTAGAACTCTACCCCCAAAATGACCGAGAGATAGGAACAGACGAAGACGATTCTCACCAGCTGGATATGCTTTGGATCATCTAACACCACTTTACAGCCTGTTAGAACCTCCATTATTACCTATAAAGAATACAGAGAAAGTCAACTACAAACATATGTAAGATATATATGCAGAATTAGTTGCAGTGATTAACTTTAACAATAGATATCGTTCATTCTAATTAATGACTTTATATTTTACTCTTTGATTACACAAAATTAACGTATAAGACGATGAGTAACAGTCAAAAGCCCTTAAAAAGTTCTTAGAATTTAGAGCATTCCTGGGAATAAGCTTTCCTCCTTTGTTGACTGGTACTTGGTACTTACAATTCCAAAGCTATAGACATCCGTTTTAATGGAAAGTTTGCCCTGTCTGATGTACTCTTCAGGCATGTACCACAGATGTTTACTGCTGCTGCTGGCCACGCTTATGGTACAGCTCTGGTGTTCCAGGTGGGGTCGGAAGTGCGCCATGCCAAAATCAGTTAGCTTGGGTTGAAACTGATCATCCAAAAGTATGTTTGCACTAAAATCATGATCGAAGACAAACAAGACAAAAACATCACAATGACATTCCGGTGGGAAAAAAACGACAAGCTCACCTTCATTTCTGGTTAATGCCAAACACTGACAAAACAAAGCCATGCACAGTTTTTCATGAACTAGAGGGTATTTTCTTATTCTTCTTAAAGTATAAATACAAGTAGTATGTAAAACTCTAAAATGAAAACCTGGGTGCCTGGGTGGCTCAGTCAGTTGATTTCAGCTCAGGTCTTGGTCTCAGGGTCCTGAGGTCTCAGCCCCTGTTGTGGCTCCATACTCAGCAGGCAGTCTGTTTGGGATTCCTTCTCCCTCTCTTCTCCCTCTATCTCTCCCCCTCTTCATGCACACACTCTCTAGCTCCCGTGCTGCCTCTCTCTCTCTCAAATAAATAAATCCCTTAAAAAAATGAAATAAAATGGAGACCTGACCCAGGAATAGTGCGCTTTTCAAGTGTATAGATACATATAGAGCGTTGGCAGATAAAGCTGATGCTTTGTCAACAGGAAAAACTAAAGTTAACCAAAGCCACTTTCCTTGCACCCTTCTGATACGCAGTAAGACCACTAACTGGGTTTTAATCAGCTAACAATCAAGTACCTGTGATGTGCACAGAGCTCAGGAGCTTATCAGCTTACCAGCCTATCAGCAGCGAGCTACCAACCTGCAGAGATGTGAGGAATCTTTGGCAGCCTTATGGATAACCCTGGTCTACTGTCCCAGCTCTATGGACTTTCTAGGGACTAATGACAAAAATGTCTTTGAGTCTTATTTATTTATTTATTTATTTATTTATTTATTTATTTATTTATTTATTTATTTTAAAGATTCTATTTATTTATTCATAGAGACACACAGAGAGAGAGAGAGAGAGGCAGAGACACAGGCTCCATGCAGAGTTCCAGACACAGGACTCGATCCAGGATCTCGCCCCGGGCTGCAGGCAGCGCTAAACCACTGCGCCACTGGGGCTGCCCTTGAGTCTTATTTAAAACATAAAAGGGCACCTGGGTGGCTCAGCAGGTTGGGCATCTGCCTTTGGCTTGGGTCAGGATCCCAGGGTCCTGGGATTGCCTGGCATTGGGCTCCCTGCTCAGCAGGGAGCCTGCTTCTCCCTCTCCATCCGCCATTCCCCTTTCTTGTGCTCTCTGGTTCTCTCTGCCAGATAAATAAAAATATTTTTTTTCAAAAAATTAAAAAAAAACAAGTATCTACAGGTAAAGGCAAGGTGCTTAGAGTCAGTTTTGTCTCCTTGTCACAGAAAAATCTTAATAATCACTTAATATCTTGGCTGACAGTAAGGTAAGCATCAGCTTACTTTTACCTTCAAAGTGCCACCACAGCAGGGATGGGAAAGGTTAAGCCCATGCATTTCACATGGCCCACAGCCGGCATGAGTCCCAGCCTGCCTTTCTCTGGCAGTGTGACCACTGGGGGGTTACTGTACCCCATATGCCTCAATGTTGTCCTCACATGTGAAATGGGGCAAACAACAGAATTCACAGAACTGAGAACGTCAGTGAGGGCCTAACCCTTCAGTCTCATATCAGTAATCACAGTTCTCAGTCTTCTCCTTGCCTTGTCTTTTCTTCATATATTTGAAACACGGCAGCTTCTAAGGCCAGCCTGGGTCCAACTCATCTATGTCACTCATCATCCATCTCACTTGGAAAATAGTGTTTTGTTTTGTTTTTTTAAAGATTTTATTTATTTACTCATGAGAGACACACAGAGAGAGGCAGAGATACAGGCAGAGGGAGAATCAGGCTTCTTGCAAGAAGGCTGATGGGGGTCTCGATCCTAGGACCCCGGGATCATGCCCTGAGCCAAAGGCAGACACTCAACTGCTGGGCCACCCAGGCGTCCGGGAAAATACTGTTGACTATCCTGACAAACCTCTGAACATGAGTCCACGAGAGCCAGCCCCTGCCTTCTCTCCAGCTCCAGATAAGAACATTTAGTTCATAATTACTTCTTCCATAGGTATGTGTGCACTTCAGTTGTTCCCACCTAGGTGGGCCTTCTGGAGACCCCTTGATCATTTCGGAGGGCTGGGGGCTCTAATGCAGGGGCTTGCAGCTGTACCAGGAGGTGAGACGGGCAGAGAGGTCCCATTCCCAGAACCCCACCCTCTCCCCCTCCACTTCTGCTGCACTGACCGCCCAGCTCTCTTCTGCACACATCCCCACCCTCTGCACGCACATGCTTGATTTCAGAAGAGGACAGGAAAACCCTGAATGCCAGAGTTTCAGTGTCAAACATCTCGCCCTCTTCTTCCTCAACTCAAGCTCTAAAAAGCTTAAACCCACAAGGATGCAAAAGCTGAATTTGTAAAACACTTAGAATTCCTGAAGAATAGATCTTTCCTGGGCACAAAAGAAAAAAAAAAAAAGGCAAGCATCAAAAACAAAATCCACAATCTGATTCTTTTATTTGACCCTCAGCAAAGCTGGTGGGGAGCTTTGAGCAACTGTTGACTCACGCCTCGGACACACTTAAGGAAAGTGGGGTAACCACAAGGGGTGACGCAATAAAATCCACAGAGGACTGTGGGCCAGTGAGAGGGCATCAGTAAGAATCTAGGGCACTGCATTTACACTTTCAATGAAGATAGTTGATGAAAAGACAAGTTGTTCACCAGCAGGCTTTAGTGCATAACACGAATTTTGAGTGCAGTGTTCTAAATAAAAGTTCTAAATAAAAGTCAACAGTGGCTGAGGAAGAAGAATGTTCTGTTTTAAGAAAGTAGGAACTTCAAAAGCCCCGTCAACAACGAGCTCTGCCCGGATTCCTTCCCTCGCTGCAGCCCTAAATAGAGCATTCATACACCGCCTTCAGCCATCATACAAGGTCAATGGAATACGTTTGTCCCATGGGGGTAAAGACAGACCAGTAAAATAAAGACAACATAAAATAACTACAATCATATAACAATATAGTTGAACAAAGGGCAGCTCTCTAGCTACCGTGCTTACCAAGGAGATAGACAAGAAACACGTAATGGCCTACACTGTCAATTTAGGGTTTTCACAACCTATTTCTTCTATTCTTTCCCACAAAGCTACTTGCTGAAACACAGACCATCACCTTTCTAGATAATTCTTTTTTTTTTTTAAGATTTTATGTATTTATTCATGAGAGACACAGAGAGAGGCAGAGACACAGGCAGAGGGAGAAGCAGGCTCCCTGTGAGGAGCCTGACGGTGGGACTCGATCCTGGGACCCTGGGATCACGCCCTAAGCCAAAGGCAGATGCTCAACATCTGAGCCACTCAGGTGTCCCTCTAAATAATTCTTCTAGTAGAAGGATTGGGGTGGTACACGGAGGAGACGAGGAAAATCCTACACAAGGTGGTCAGTTTGCATCCTGACTCTGGAGGGTAACATATTTCATCTCTCTCTTGCCAAGGGCCTCCACCACAATTCTCTCTGGGGACTTGAACCTCCCAGGGTACAAGAATTGCTTTCTTTGCTCACCAGTCTTTCTCCTGATTTAGCCAAAGCCCAGGGGCCTAAAATGTACATATAAACCATGATGATGCATCTAGATTATAGTGCAGAATTGGAATCTAAGTGCAAATACACATTTGACATGTAAGCACATGACTGGTTTTTAAAAATATGAATTTTTAAGGGATTTTAGGGGGAGTTATTGGTGCAAAGCAGCCTAGTCCCTGAGTGCCTGGAAAACTCTCTGGAAAAGTCTGGACTCCAACAAATTGGACTCAGAGATAAAGAGGACCCGCCGGCCTCTTCATGACAGACTGAGGCAGCAGGACATCTTGCCGTCTGTGTCACTGCTGTTACAACACCAAGACACTCCTCTCCAGATGAGGCAAGATCCAGCGTCTCAAGGAACTTATAGGCTACTGAAAAAGGGCATACACTCCCCACCCCAACCTTCAGCATGCAATATATCTGATGAAGCTGAAGCCTTTTGTTCCCCCTTTGGATTGTACAACCTTCTGCCTCTCTTCCATTGAACCCAGACAGGACTCAGGGACAGTATTAAAGGCTGCTGTTGCTTTACTGATGACTTATGAGACCTACGCTCAGCCATTAAATGGGTATTCCTGCATTAAATGTGAAATTTGGTCTCTAACCAAACTAGCATGACTTCCTTAAGGCTCAGTTTCCTCGTGGTTAAAAAGATCTGAGAATGCTTACCTCTCTGGGTTGTTACGAGGATTAAATGAAAAAATGTAATCAGAGTTCCTGATACACAGGGAGGGCCTCGGAATATACTCTGAAGGATGTAGGCTGGCCTTTGTCCATCCTACACCTGCCTTAAAATCCCAAGAAACTTGGTTGGGTATCTGTAGAAGTTCAAGGCATCAATGTGAAGTGACAAAGGTACAGGGGGTTGCAACAATGACCCCGGAGATCTAAGGATCCTTGGGTTAATTAGTTTCAGGGCATCTGCTGAGTTTCAAAATAGTTCCAGAGTTCTGAAAGAACCTGATTTAAAGTATCATTTCCAGATACTCTAAGATCATGGAGAGAAAAAAGGGGTGTTTGGCACAGATGCGTGCATGCGTGTATGCACGCCTGTGTATAAATAAATGAATGTTGGGGTTTAGAGACACTGACGATAAACAAAAATCAAAGGAAAAACTTAAGTTTATGTATGATTTAACTGCGCTGGCATCTCTTCGGAAAAAATAGACATATTTGGAAATTTTATAAGAAGGGAGACACTTGAGGAAAATAGGGAAATCTGAGGGAAAAGAATTTTTATATCTAAAATGTTTCCGAAAAACAAAAGTGGGTGTTTTTTGGGAGGTGGGGGGAGATGGGAAAGGAGAAGGAGGAGACTCGTCAATTAAACAATGAACCAATCAAACCAACAGACTTTGCATTCCCTGCAGATTTTGCATCCCTACTAGACACGTAGCTGCTTCTTTGCCACACCATCAGGTTTGGGGGGAAAGGCGGAGGGGCAAGGGTGTCACGGTCCTAGGAAGGGGCCACCGCCCTGTGGCCTCC